GTTGAACTGGAAATATTTTTTCAGTCAATTCTCAGCAGAAGAACAGAACATGGATCAACAAATGATCTGCTTTCAAGAAAGAGTTTAAGAGTTGATGGATTTTTGTGTTTCTGTGACTATGAAGTAAATAAAAAAAATGGTTGGTGAAAAACTGCATGAAGCTAATTTTCAACATACTAAGACAGATGATGATTTAAAGCAAGCTTGAGTTCAGTTTTCTTGCATACTTGGATACGTTTCCGACAACAATGGTCTTCTTAACATAGAGTCTGGAGGCTTCATCTCCAGTAGAGTGGTAGGTCACCCTCTGCTCTACGTCCATTGGAGAAGGCACACCAAATGTGTCCTAAGAAAAAACCAAAAAACATTTAAAACAATTATGAGATGGAGCAGCTGTGAAAGATCGCAGACCCTGACATTTCAGTAAGTCGAACTGACTTTGCCCGTGTTTCGTCCAGGTCTGCGCTCCTGCTTACTGCTGTCCTCTCTCCACATTCCCTCTCCGTTCCTCTCAGTGCCGTCTCCTTGCTGTGAGAGAGATTCACACTCTGAATGGGCCAGGGATTGTGTTTCCGAGCCCTGGTTGAGAGGGGAAGAGGAACGCGACGGAGACTCTAGGAACCGACGGATGGCCGGATGGTTCAACACTGCAGGGTCACTTTTCAAGGTGTGCTAGAAAAATGCAGAGAAAATAGAATCAACTTTTGCAATACTATATTATTTTACCACTTTACTGTTTAACATCTCTGTAGTTTTGGTTGTTTTTAAGCATTTATAACTGATCCTGTGCCAATCATATCCACCAGTAAATGTTTTGTAAATGGTATCATCTACTCAAGGTTTACTACACATAAAGGAGGTTCCAGCACTATATGTTTGTTTATTATCTATCAACAAGACATATCCTGTAGTTAATTTGATTTGATGAGACATTACTATCTCAGATATTAAGTAAGAATGAACTTCCAAAAAATAGAGATCAGAACAGTAACCAAAACTTCTGAAATATGCTTAAGTTTAAGTAGTACATAGGTACAAAAACAAATCAATAACGGGACTAACTGTCTGTAACTGACAGACATTTACTGTCTGTTACTGTCAACCAAGTCAATCAACTTGTACTGAAAAGTTTTCTCTTTGACCTATAAAAGCTACTTGCTCAAAAACTATTAGAAAATACCTCTGGAGGCTTTGTTATTCCAGAACTGGCAAAGTAATTTGCCACTATGCATGCACGTAGCTTGTCCATCATCCTCCTGGCTTCATTTAGGCGCTGCAAAAAAACAAGTTGCATTAGAAGTCTGCTGCAAATTTTAAACAATTTCTGCATATTGTCCCTTAACAGCGGTAAAAAAAAAATGGATTACAGATAGAAGGATTTTTTAAACATAATTCAGAAACACATACCTGACTTATAACATCTATTTCATGCTCTTTGTTCTTCATTTCCAGAGAAAACTGCTCTCTAATGATGTTTTCAATTCTCTGTACTGTCGCTTCTCGAGCTGAGAGAAAAACAACATAGATTTTTTTCTTTTTATACTTTAAACAAGAAACATACAAATAGACGCAGTACTTCATATTAACTTACCATTATGTTCAGCCGTTTTGTTTCTCTTATTACTTTGGATCAGTGAAATGTCATCATAGTCTGGGTCGTTGCCTTCTATTCTCCTTTTAATTCCTGACATGTTTGCCTACAAAGAACAAGATGAAAAGCAGATTAGGCTAACGGTGGCTAGCCGCTTCTCTGCTGTTTGGGTAGTTATGATTGTTGTTAGCATCGCATTAGCTGCTAAACAGAGAAGTTCTATCAATTACAGCAAATGATTGAAGCTAACTCTGTAGCACAAACTACCTAGGGAGGTGTTTGCTACACAGGGATAAAGGTTTTAAACTCTTAGTGAATTAGCTAACACCACGAGCGAGTGTAATAACCACGTACATAAAATGCTATTGAATTGCACCCAATAAAAATAAACACAACTGTGCCTGCTATTCCTGCAGCCGACTTGACTGTCACGTTAAGGAGCGCTAACCTTGTTTGCTAATTTAGCTAACATTGGCACATGTTTGTAGCCACCGAGTCCGACTACATGAGAAGCAGACTTACTGGAGATGTCTGTGCAGTGCAGTCACAATGCTTGTTTAAACTCAAAGCGAGCACATCCTTGCTGTAATCGTCCAGTACTCGTGTCTTGCTATTTGCTAAATCTCGAGCTGCATATGTATGCTAACTGAGTAGTGTAGAGTTAGCCTCGCGATTCGTCAAAAAGGCCACTGGGGGCCGCTGCTCTACAAATGAGTTTTCTCTACTGCTGAAGAACTGAATAAAAATTTAAAAAAAAAAAAACCCTCGTACATAATGTAATGTGATTCACTGGAAAAAGGGAGCATCTCTTCATCAAAAATGTTACTTGCATTACAACTTCCAACCAGCAAAACAGGTCATCAGAAATAAAAGTGGAAGTAGGACGTCACTCTGTTTCAATAGGAATTATAATTAGATGTGGTTACTGAAACCAGAACTGTTTCCAGATAAGCAGGACAACAAAAATGTATTTTTTCACTGTTGTCACCTGAATCTCTCTGATAATATTTCAGTGGCTTATCTATTCTTTAGAAATCATACAAGTATGACATAATTGCCAAAAAAATTCCAAGACATTTTCCTGAACTTAGAATATGCAAAACTTCATGACAAATCACATATTTTCCACATCTTCTAAGTCAAAATGAAAAATGAAAGGCATTTTCATAGAAACTTAAAAGCTCATTTCCTGCTAAAGCAGTAAGTCATGCAATCTTTTAAGCTGGTTAATGACCCATCAGATGTTAACAATGCTGCATAGCTCACACTAGGACTGCATATGCCTGAAGATCATACCATGGAACTGATTACATCAGTTCCATGAGCCTTGTTGTTATCTTTCTTCATTCTTTTTTACCTTTACAATGAATCTATCGTCTTGATCACACACTGCAATTCAAAAACATTGCAGGTCACTCAGAAATACGATTCCCCAGAAGAAATGCGGAAAAGTTTTCTGTTTAAGTGGAAGAGAAGTTAAATTTCTGCATTTTAAACCTTTTCCTTTTGGCCTCCTCTTTTGTCATAATGTGATTTTTTTTCTTGTTTTTGGAAATGCAACTGCAAAATAAAACACTTATTTCTACCCATCACAAAAACAGGGGTTACCTGTTTTGTATAAAGTGGCCTTTCCTGTGAGTTGCTAAAACTGGAAAATGTTTACAACTTTTTCAAGTCAATGTGATAATTCTAAGTAAGCTGTTGTGGTTCTCACAGAGACATGGGCTTCCATTTGTCTGCCAGGACAGGATTGTTCCAAATGTCCTTTTAACCTCTAAAATAAACATCAGTGATGCTTTTTTTTATTTCTATAAGTGTGTATCTGTTAAAACGAGCAAATTAAAAAAGACATTTTTTTTTTTTTTTTTTTTTTTTTTTTTTTTTACAAATGAATTAGCATTAATTTTCCATGTCTGCAAAACTCTGAGAAAAATGTTGCAGTGGTGTCAAATTATGATGTGGAATGCATGCTATAAATCATACAGCACATACAATAGCCCAGTGAATGTCTACTGGAGCCTGTGTTGCTCAATTTTACTTTATACTGTGTAGCTGATGCTGGGCCATATCCTCTTGTCCCACACAATGGCTCATTAAAAGATCACCAGCATGATTGATTCATCCCTCATTGAACTCAAACCACCAGCAGCTATGTTGAGTCTTAGTGGTTGATTTAAAAAAAATCTGTGGCATATTTCTGGATCCATATTGTAACTTACGTTGCAAGTTTAAATATAAAATGAATTTAGTCTACTCTACAGTTACTCAAAGTTATGAAAACAGGCTTGAATATGAACACAGATACAGAATTTTTATAAAATGCCAGAGAAATGTATGTCCTGGCACAATCCTCTCTGGATATAAAACCATTCTTAGAAATAACAGAGCCAATGAAAAGTGTTTGTTTTCCTGGCAAAGATCTGCTTTGCCAGGAAAGCAAAGCAGATCTGGGCTATATGTGTAATCATACATAGCCCAGAAATTTCCAACAGAGTCAACATCATTGCTTTTGGAAGGCTGATGTAAGCCTAGATGTGTGTTTGGGATCATCGTCCCGCTACATCACCCAACTGAGTCCATGTTTTAATGATCTGAACCAAACTGTCATCCTCAGGAGGAAAAAAATTGTTTAAATTTTTCAGGAATAACTGGGAAAGAAGCATTGAGGGAAAAAAAAAAACTGCTTCAAAATTAACATGTTCAGTTATAACCGAAAACTCGAACTGCCTTCATGATCGAGCCAAATTTCTTCTGGATTAAAGTTTTATGAACTAGAGTGAGCACTGAGTAGAATTATGTTTAAAGGGGTTAGCACAGCAGCATCACGAGGGTCTGTTTTTCTACTACTAGTAGTAGACGGATTACCTAAAACTGCCTGATGGTTCAGACCTGGACACAAAATGTTGTTCCAACAAGACAGAGATCTCAAGCGTTGGTTTTTGAATGGACCAAGCATGAAGCTTCAGGAAAGGCCCTGACTCAACCCCAACAAACACTTTGGCACTAAGCTTAAATATGGTTTGTTTGGTAGCATATCAACTTAAATGAGCTCTACCATTTCTGATGAAAAGAGAAGGGAAATGAAAACAGAATGATGTTTCTCTGGATATCATCAAGCAAGTTTCAAACAGCAGTAGTAATGTTTATGAATATTTAGAACCGTATGTATAACTTTTAAGTTATGAAAATGTGCAATGCATTTAAACTTGCACAACAAATTCTTGTTTCTAAGATTCTACGTTGTATCATTATGACATAATTTATGTCAGTGATGAGTGTAGGTAAATTTATGTCAGGCTCTGTGTGTTTAATTTATGCTTATTGGGACAGACAGATCAATTTGCAGATGCATATTTTTACTCTTAATGTGGACATTTATAAACCATTTCATTAAAAATAAAGAACCAAATATTTATAAAGAGTTTATTGATGTTCCTCTTACAACCACTGCAACATGTTGCAAGTTACCAATATCCAAAATGTTCTCTTTCTTACATCATACATACAATTAACAATATCAAAAAGGCCAGATTAAATAGCCCTGTCATGATTTGTTTTAAGGCATACGGCACAGCCTTTAACATGTTCAATCGTCCATCTTACATGCAGGCACAATCAATTATTTTTCAACACATATAAACCGGGACAAAAATCAGATTAACTTTGGTTGATATCCGCATTGATAATGAAGGGTAAACTATATATGTGGTTTTGCTCAACTGTTCCAGTCAGCATCTGCAATATACTGTTTAACCTGTTGGAATGACCTTATCTGAACAACACACAAATACATATCTCACCACAAAAAGAAAAAGAAGAAAAAAACAAATCAGATTAAACAAAATCAGTATATAGGCTCATCACAAGCAGGCAATAAATGAAAGTTCATTCAAAACCAATAAATCAGAATATCAGGACAATGTTTGTGACTCATTTTAAAAATATCAGCGGAAAGCACGTTTGTTTCTCATTCTCACTATTTTAAGCCTTTTCTTACATTAACTCATCCTTTAACCCGTCCAGCTGGCCTTCTGACTTAGCACATGACAAAAAAAAAAAAATTATGTGTGGAGAAGAGAATCAAGAAGTTCATAATTTCAAGGTCTAACACCAAATTAAGCTGATGAATAAAAGGAAATAACCCCAACAGCTTTGTTGATTTTCAAAGATAGAAATATATGTAACATTCACTATCCAGAGTAAGTTGTACTTGTTCCTGTTATCCTAAAATGGCAAGAAACTCTCCAATTGTGTTCAGTTTGTCATTTTTGGGAGAACTCAGAGCCATTAAATATGATTTACTGTCTTGTGCACTTTACAAAAAAGTAAAGGTAATTCCGTTTCCAAATCTGCCTACAGTGAAAAAGGTCTTTGTCAAAGTGCACCGCTGGGGATCTTAGTTACAGAAAAACACAAAGACCACCGACAAAAATGCTTTCCATACAAAAAGAAATCTTTAAAGTTATATTCACAGCAATTCTCTGGTCTATCAATACCAACTTATATAAAAAAAAGAAAATTGTGAGCCACAAAGTTGTAAATCTTTAGCATGAACTCTTAACCCTGTGTGTGAGGTATACCACTGCTGCACACCTTCACCGACCAGCAAACATACATACATACAAACACACCCAAGGAGACACATCTTTGTATGTTGATGTTTAAGTGAGAGGCGCCAGCCTCAATTAAGAGTTAGCAGTTGTGCTGTGCTTATGCTACAACTTGATGTCAAACCTGCTGGGCTCCAACACATCCAGGTCACACATCCATACTTGTCATGCACACACATCAGTTATTTAGAGCAATCCTTGAGTTTGATCTACAAAGGTTTCTAACTAACAAAACCACCCACATGTCCCAAACACCAAAAATCTGACAGTAATACTCATCTGACACAACAATGATGTAAATAATATGACATGCTTTTATAAAAAAAAAAAAAAAAATTAAAAAGACATATAAATTAAAGAAATATATATATATAAAAAACCATGAGAAATCAGTTAATTGCAATGGAGAACACAAATAGTAATATAGAAAACAAACTGAGGTGATGAAACTATGTGAAACAGGTGAAGGGAAACAAGCCTGTTAAGTGGGAACTTGCGAGGACAAAACTGAAACAACGGAGCAGAGCTATCACTGACAACTGACTAATGTGTTATTTCAGCCTGTTTTTAACAGGTTAGGGCAGTAAATAGATAAAAGAACTGATACTGTGGCATCACAGCTGACTGACTGTTGCCTGCATTTCAGCTCAATTGTAAATCAATGAATAAAAAAATACAGTTTAAATATATATGTTAAAAAAATACTTATATTTCTAATTAGTGGTGGACTATGCTCTGCTGTATGGAAATATTAGGAACCAGGTCAGTGGGGTACATTTTAGATTACCGAATCTAAAATGTGTGCAGATTGCACAAAAAAGACAAAATGATGGGCAAGAATAAATTAGCTCTCTGCTTCTTTATTTTGAACTGATTCAGATGTCTCTTGTTTAAAAGTAATATGTGTCTGTGTGAAGTACATAAAAAGTTTGGCTATCGTAGTGTGTCCTCACATGTCGCTTGTCTGTGTTTCTGTGTTTAGAGTCATGGTTTGGTTTTGTCACAATAGCGGTGGATGGTTACACATCCGTGGTAGCAGATGGGTCGTGGCATGCCACGATCTCCTGTCATGAGGCCTGTCGCTGGGTCATAACATATGATTGTATCTGTAGCTTCACCATTTTCCCCTTGGCCGCCAAGGATATAGATCTTCCCGTTAACCACTGACATGCCACAACTTTCCTGTAAAGAGACCAAAACAAAAGTTTCAAAATGCTGCTTAGAACTATTTGCTTTATATCTCACTTTCTCAGACTTCAAAACGATCTGAATCTAAATCAGTCACCTGCTTGGTGAAGGTCTGGCACACAAGAATCCAGTAGTCTTGTGCTGGGTCGTAACAATAGAGGTTCTTGGTAAGGCCACCACAGACATAGATCAGGTTGTTGAGGGACACAGCTGTGATGCAGCGCTTAGCGATAGGGATGCTGGCCCGCAGTAACCATGTATTTGTATTTGGATCATAGCATTGAACCTGTAGGGTACAGTTGCATGATTAATTAAAAAAAAAGATACAACATTCAAGTACAATGTGTAAACAATACATTGGAAATTAAAATAAGGTACAACGGAGTATGTATCATGGATTTGAGGAGTCTTGTGAACTGACATAAGCTTCAAACATCAGTATATTTTATTACAACAATATTAAAATATTATTATTATTCTTTCTGTTGAGTCACAAAAATTCATCTTAATTTAGGTAAGACCAAAGCGTGGTATATTTTTCTAAAACTATAGAGTTTTGATCAAGAGAAATAAATGCTTTCACAAGTCTATTTTTGACATGAAATCCTTATCACTGTGGCAAATGAGGACTCTTGTCATTATGTGAGAGATTCTTTTGAGTTGGTCCACTGACGTAAAGTCTGCTTAAATTTCCGATTCCTCTGTAGTAAGTGAGTCATGCAGACACATAGGCACCCATCTTTGTCAAATCATTTATCAGAGTACCAGATTACTACTCTGTGTGCTTCTAATGTGGGCAAACATCCTGCAACTCCTTGGAATGAAATGACTACCTCTGTGGAATTCAGGATTCTCAAGGAAGGCACTTGGGTTTTTACTACAATGCCAATCATCAGAAGACATAATGACACTTTTCCAGCAAACTGTCATGCTTTGATTTATGGTGGGTTTCTGTTTTAGCATTCAATAGGAGAGCGAAATCTTCTTTAAATTTTTTACAGTTATTGTGGCTCAACGTGTACCTATAAATCCATTTAATTATTGTCATCGTAGCTTTTAATTAGCATCCAGCTTCTTTCATTTTCAGAGCTGTGCAATCCTGCAATTTTATTGGCTATGTAGATTTGTTCAATTACAAGCTCAACCCTTGACATAACCGACCACAGTGAACATCTAATGTACTAATTCAAACAGAAGTTTTTCATCCACCAAGAAATAATGGCATTAGTTTAGTTCTGCAGCCTATAAAATCTGTTGGGAAATGACCTATTGCTACATTTTTATGGGTGATCTAGATCTTGATGCAATCAGGACTCTGAACCAGATCAGACCTGCAGAGACTGTTTGGCTTGCATACATTTCTAAAAAGAAAAAAAAAATACAACTTGTCTTTCATCCTTTTACAAAACTAACAAACAGAAAAGTAGACAAACTGCCATTTTTTCTTACTTTTTTCAAACAACTTAATTTTTACCACGAAACTACGGCCTCCAGAAATCAACAAAGAAAACTTTATAACTGAGAGAATATCACTATAGTTAAAACACACCTCAGATACAACATGTGTTTACAGTGTGGGAGGGAGAACACTCATCTGTTTCTCACCTTGTCTGAACAAGTTTCATCGTCCGGGCCTCCTCCAATAACATAGAGTTTGCCGCTGCAGCTGGCCACAGCTGGAGAACTGACTGCCTCTTTCATTGGAGCCACTTCTGTCCAGCGGTTGGAGAAGGAGTCGTAGCACTCCACGCTGCTCAGGCGGCTCTGCCCATCATAGCCACCCACAGCATAGACCTGAGGACAGAAACGTAGGAAATCAGTGAAACACAGGAATACCTCTCACGCGCAACAAAGGTTTCCTTCATGGCAGCATTTTGAAACAGTTATCCAACTAAATTGCTGCACAATATTATAAAAATGTTTTTATTTAAAGTTTGTGAGCATAAACAATAGCTGCTCACCTGAACACTTATGAAACCTGTTAGTCAGGTCCGGAAGACGAACAACGTTCTGCTGCTAGACAAAGGGGTATTCTCCTCCTTGTTTTTATGTCTGAACTACAATATCCTGACTATTTTTGTCAAATTAGCAGATACATGCCACCTAGCAGTTAACCAAATTACCATTTGTTTTAACATATCAAATGATTTAAGGATTTTGTATTTTTCACATCTGTAAGACTAAATTTCTTGAAAAAGATTACACCTTGTCAACCAGTGCAGACGAGGTTAAATTATGCATAATCAGAGTAGAATTTCTCAACAGAAACCCTCCAGGCAGTTGCTGACTCCCGGAAATAAAAGTAAAAGGAAATGCAAATGCATAAAATAAAAGAGAAGAAAGCTAATTCAAAACACGGAACATACTGGGGCCCACAGATATGTGTGTTTGTCTCCTGGGTAAAGGTGGAACATGTGACTACTGCTTTTTACAACTGAAAAACTGTCATTCATTGGTTTTCAGTTTCAACGTGTGTTGCTTTCAAACCACTCTTTTGGTTTTCTGTAACAACCAGGAATGCACAGCACAGTAACTTGTACATCTATATTGAGAAGTTGCTTCAGCACTTTGAAGTCCAAAGTAAGACCATGATCACTTAGGCCAAGTTCAGATTGTTTAACACTCTTGATATTTTGTAACAAAACACTGGTTGATTGTTGCTATAAATAAAAAAACACAATAAGACAGGAACTTCTGGCACTTAAGAGATAAATCCACTGTAATTAGACGCTGTTCTTTTTTGGTGAAGTCAAACTATTTTCACTACTCACATCTAATGAGCACATATTTAAACTGAAACCTTCAGAGTGATCTGACAACACACCCTTTGTGTGACGTCTTATAAGAAATGAAACATGTAGATTTAGCTTGACCAGATTTACTGTTTTTAATACACTGACCCCTTAATGGTTCAGTAAATATATCCAGAAATTGTCCTGCTTAAAGATGACAGTGGCAGTATATTTAAAGAAGTGTAACAACCATAGTTGTAACATACTTGATTTTAATGTGACAAAACATATAGATACTAAAACAACGAAAAATACTAAACTAACTGCTTAGTGACGGCTGAACAATCAACCACTTCCTAAAAAAAACGATAACGATTATAGGAAGGCAGTAGGTGAGAGTGAGACTGATAATTATAAACCAAAAAGAAAATCCACAATCTATGTATCACTGGAGGGGGAAAAAAAACAATTACGATCCATTTCTGAAAATACGTTGTTCATGCAAGACCAGTCTAACAGGACAATCATCATTAGAAGTTCAAACTAAAAGTAGATAACAATGACTGTGAAGTATGCATGCATACGGCAAACATTTTTAGTCATGCAAAAGCATATCTGATTTTCTGTGATGCAAAGTGGCAGGACGGGGTCTTCTAGTGGAATGTTTTAACATAAAAATGGATGAACATGTGTATGTGATGATTATAGTGGGTTGTTTACAGCATGTGGGCTTGCAACACAGCTGTCCATCAAAAGAGAAAATTACAAACTGAATGAGGAAATAACTCGGGACAAGCAGAGGGAGGGGGAAGGGCTTTACTCTTCTGAAGTATGTGAGGGGGAAACATTCGAAAGAGATCCTGGAAGATAGAAATAACTTTCAAGAATCTGGAGTAAGACCATGACAAAAAACATTCACGAGAAACAAATAAGGAACCATCAGGCATTAAATACCACAGTTGTGACAAAGGGGAAAGAAAACTCTGAAATGGATGGATTCACTTTAATTCTCAAGTTTTAACAGATTGCGCAATAGGAAGATATACACAAATTGAGAAATATAAAAGAAATATAGATATAAACCTATTTGGATTAAAGACCAATGAGTGCTTTTTTCTATCGTACCATAAATTCATATAATCAATGATCTTCATAATATTTTCATATATATATATACATATATATACATTTACATGTATACATAAATAGTCCTACTTTCAAAAAGTATTTTTGCTATCTTGATGTGTAGCTAAATAGTATTTAAACAAATAGAGATTCAAATTTACACCTCAAAAACCTTTTCAAGTGTTGAGTACTGCCTTTTCATAACTGCCAAGCTAAATCTGTTTGCTGTGATAAAACAATTAGGAATTTTAGGTGCAGTTTTGAGGTCATAGGTCAAATCTCCTTGAGCCATGATTCTTTAAAGCAATCAGAGTTCAGTTTGAGGCTGAAGCTTTCAGGAATACCTGCACTCAGCATGTTTGTGCTTAAGCATGTACATATAGGTCAGTAAAAGATCTGTGGTTTTAAATTAAGACTGTACATTATGTGCATGTTAAGCTATGCTAATGTATTTATTACATGATTATTACAATTATTTAGTACTTCTTTTTACACTTTATTAACAAAAACATGCATTACATGTCATGAGATATTTAATCCATAAGTCATTTGTTCTGTTTTTGGATTCCACCATCTAGTCTATAAAACTTCTGCTCCTGTAGGATGAATTTATTTTCCTACATAAACATTGTATCATGTTTTTATATGGTCTGAAATGTAGTCCAACATTTTGATTATATGTGTATTGAGGTATTTGTAAACTGCTTTGCCTGCTATCTATGACGAGTGGTGAGATGGATGAAGCCTGATACAGACTAGCGGATTCAACTTGTTCTTATCTCGGAAGCTTGAAGTGCTGGCACTCATCCACTGAACTCATACTGCCCTCAGAGAAGAATGTCCACCTGTCCAGAATGAAGCTGCAACTTATCTACTTCAAATCTGTTTTCAAATCTGACAACTGACATAAACGAGATAAACATTTCTAATCAAAAATACCTCGTGTAAGTGTGATGAACAAAACAAAAATTTGTGAGTCATCACTTTGTATGCAAGGTCTACAAGAGATGTCAACTACTTACATGTCAACTGGTAATTCATTTACTATTATAAGAAATGAAAGCAGTTCATTTATGTGCCTGAACATCCTCATACTCTTTACCTTACCAAGTTCTTCAGAATTTCTCAATAACACCTCCACCAGACTGCAGCATTCATTTTATGAGTAAACAATGAGTATTTTACCCTCCCCTCCAGTTTTTCTAAAGAATCCTTCAACAGAGTTTTCGCAAACAAGGATTACAGTCTCGCCGTAACACCCACTTACTCTACTATTAAGGGTCACGTACCAAATCTTGCTGCCACCCAGATAGTTTGCATGTAAAAAACACCATTTTCTATATGGTGCAAACAAACCCTAGACACCCACAGCAGATGTTTTGCATCATGATCTGTTTCCAAACTGTTTTATCCAAAAGCCAAACTGAAGTATTTAAGTTTGTTGGATGTCATACAAAACATCCCTGGCAGTGAGAATTACGCAACTATGCAACTTCAGCCAGTGACAAGCCTGGCATTACTGTGGTTCAAGCAGCAGTTAAAATATGAAACTGGGATGTATAAAATAGTTTAAAACCCCATGAGGATTAAAATTTTTTTAATACCTTGCCCAGTAGGACACCCATCTTGTGTCTCCAGCGGCCTTTGACAAGAGAAGCCACTTTGATCCAAAGGTTGAGCTGGGAGTTGTACAGCCACACATCCCTGCTATTAATGCGTCCTCCTGCAATTGCAATACACCATTATTACAATCTTGACAACTTTATGTGGAAAAAAAGATTTCAAACAAAAATAATCTGTTAGCCAGACACACATACAAAGTTTATCAACTGCCATGTGTTATTTTAAATATATGCCTCCAGAACAAAACCAGGACACATGCATATCTACACCTAAATTTGTTAACTGACTGCTAGAGCAGCAAAACACATTTCAAATCTATTGAGTGAGATCACAAAGAGTAAATTTAGAATTGAAGTTATTTCATAGGCTTGTACAGAAAAAAAACAAGGAAAAAAAAGGTTGGTTTTGTTTGAGATAAAAAAAGAACAATGATAAGTATGTTATTGTGTCACAGGCACGCATTCAACAAGCGCCAACATGTGCCTGAAATTACAATAAACCTCTCACCACTCATCACAGAGAAGCACTGCTAGATATTACATATTCTCAATGCATCCCATTATCTTCAGGCTTATGCAGCTGTCAAAATTTCTGACTGCATGTCTACAGTCTATATTGTTTATTTGATAATGAAGAAACAATATTCAGTCATTTCAAATTAAGCAAAAAGACAGATAAAGATCTGCAAAGCAAGTTAGACCAGCATGTGCCGACTTAATAAACCACCAGATACTTAAAAAACCGCACAGTTTGTTGCCCTTGAGGCCTCAATTAGAAATTTGTGAGATGGGACATGTAAGACAAGTTTCTTAAGCTTCTTAAGAGAGAAAAAGGGATTTAAAAAGATGTTTAAAATAACAAGCCACAACTTGAATGTTTCAATAAAATCTGTAATAAATGTAATTTGCTTTTATTCCAGCTTTGTTTCGGCTACAATGTATGAGGCTCGTTTAGCTTTGGTCCAGCATATAATGCTCATCTATATGACAGAAAACAGTTTAATGAAATTGTATCCATACATTGGCACGCTTCCTGTCAGTGGACAGTGAAACAATACTTTTTGTATGTGCAGCTGAGCCAAGCATTTTAGAGGCTGCAGCTGTGCTTGGGTACAAGCTGCAAGGCCTGTGTTTATACCAGTTTCCTGTATGAAAAGGGACAGACACAGACAGGAGGAATGCAAACCAGTGTTGTGAGAAGTATAGAGGACAAAAATACAATCAGTCATAAAAAAGATTCTCAACAATGAAAAAAAAATGGGGCAGGGCGGACCATAAGACTATAAACAAGTAACACTTATGTATTGTATGCGTTGGGCATGAAACTGTGGGGGAGGAGTAATGTATGTTTTTAATCAGCCCACAAGAACAGATTTATAACTCACGCGAGGACTTGGCACAGGCACGGAATCAAAGCAGACTCTTTGCTGAGGGGGACACTTTTAATTTTTTTCCCTCTGTTTTGACTTGTTTTTCTGCTTTTTTCTTACACTACTCAGATGTTTATTTGCATTAATGTTAACAGTTTCTTTAAAACATGTCTAAACACAACCAGTACCTATGGACTCTCCACACTTTCCACAATAGAATTTTCTTTCAAATAATTTTGCCAAAGAAAAAATGTGCATCAACCCTTAAACAATTTGCAGCTATTCTACAGGGGGCCACCTGGAAGCAGAACTGAAGTCCCTTCAGCTTAACAACAATTTGTATTCATTTGCTAAAATAAATTAGGTCATAGACATGTCTTGCATAATCTAGGTCTTGTTTTTTTTTCTCTCTCAGAGGAGACTTAGCTTTTGGCACGCAGTTCATTTAAAAAAACGAAGCAGTTTCCAGGAGGCCATGACAGATGTAATATGTAAGGTTCTGATTTTTTTTCCAAAGCTCTTCACTGTAAATTTTTTAGAAACCAATTAACTGTTTCTAGAATATGTGATACATGCAGCTCTGTGAAAGCTGTTACAACAGAGATTAACTAAATAATAAGAGTTCACTAACAAATAAAGGCGCCTCCTAGTACTGAACTTTGAGAGTTCAGCCAGATGTTTTCAATAAAAGATGCCAAGGCTTAAAAAAATGACAGAGGGGAAAATTGATCATAGGTTTTCTTGCCAATATTAAAAATACTGGAGGATACGAAAGATGAGCACTAACTTTAAAGGTGTACTAATGATTTATTTATTTGTTTGGAATAACATTGTTCTTCTAAATAATTAAGATGAACTTGACTTTGGCTAGTTTTTCAGGAAGATACTTGAAAGGAGTATTAACTTCCCTACCACCTAAATATGGATAAGTATTTTCTTCATTGCAAATATTTATTGGTAGTTAATCATCCCCAACAAAACAAGAATGAAAAAAAAAACGATACAGTGGTATGCTAACGTTTGCTACAAGCCATCTATTTACACAGCGAAGTCGTGCCTGTCACTGTCACAACTGCTTAAATAAAAATGATTTTCAATGATAGCTGCTTTCATTCAGGAGTTTCCTTCTGCAATATGTGCTTCCAGAACAATGGCATAAGTAAAAGGTTAAGCTTAGGAAATACAGAAATCCTATTGACCAACCCACCAGACTGATATCAGAATTGTTGACCTTCCATTTTGGTTTGACTAATTTAGTTTGCTTGATTTTAAGACTTAAAAATGTTTTTGCTAATACACAGCATGTTACAAACACAACATGATCTTACCAGACACCAAGATGTCATTGCGCAAGGCGCAGACAGCATACTCTGACTTGGTGAACTCAGGCAGCTTAGACAGGGATTTCCATTCCCCTGTGACTGGATCATAGCAATCATTGTAGGGCAGGTTGAAGCCCCCCACTCGCTCACAACCTCCAACCACTACAATCACCTCTGAGTAACCAGTCGACCTGGGCGGAGAAGAGTGAGTAGATGTCAGAGATAAAAATATGAGATAAAATAGCATCAAGAAATTTAAAAAAAGACTAGATTAACCTTTTCAATCGGTTTAACAGACAAACTAGACTAAATATGCTCTCTGCTGTCACCTTGTGAAGGAACTTTGCATACAAATCCACATTTGTCAAAGGCACAATTTATAATTAACTTCAAGGCAAAGTTCAGATCATTATAGAAATGAATCAGCATAAAACATGGTTACAAAGAAGACTTGAGCTGAATCTCCAATATCACAAATGTTTGTTCCTGGGCTGATGACGACACAAAGCAACAGCTTTTTCTTAGAATGTGAGAGAAAGCAGAGCCAACACTGGCAGGTGTTGATGGGCTTCAGTTGTGTGCTTAGCTGTCTGTATACACACATGCACACACATTACTAAAAGACATTGTTGTACACAAGCAGTTAAGTTACATCTGTTGGAGCATGTGTGCAACTGATCAATTATATCCCTTGCACCTCTGAAGAATGCGGAGGCTCTGGTGTACAAACAAAGCCAGAAAATAGAGGATTTGTTTTGACCACCATTTTGGCCCTCGAGGCAAATGGAGAACACAATAAAGAAAGGGATGTACTGCTCAACTGGTTTGCTGATTTGAACATCTCAGCCTGTATGACGATAATGCACCTGAAATACACGTTGTACAGCCTTAATAACTGACAGCTGGAACTGGTCCCATTTTAACCTATTGCAGCGTTTCAAATTTCAAACGCAGCTGCCTTGCTGTTTGCTAGGGGACAGCCCACCATATGCTCATTTTTAGTATCATGTTTAGAAAGTATCAGTCAGCTCTAGCCTTTGTCCTTTGTTAATGAGTTCAACTGGACACCCCTACACCAACAAAAGAACCATCAAAAATAAATGAAAATCCAGTAAATTGATGAAAAGTGAATGAACAGGAACACAGGAAAGAAAAAACATGTGATGTGAGCTAACAAGACTTGACATTTTCAATTGATTGCTATTTCTTGCATCATATCATATCATATCTTCTTTTTTCTTTTTTTTTAAATCTATGTCTATGTTTGAACATGCCTGACTCCTCTCTATCATTTACATTTCAAGACAGTGCTTCAAAACAAAGCCAAGTGAGCGCCAAACTTGTCTCTTCAGCACAATAACACTCCCTGTCTGTGTCTCGCTCACAAGCATGCACAACAACAACGCCGCAACCACAGGAGCACAGAGTTCATTAGCAACTTGCCATCAAAGGACAACAAAACATGAATGGCAGACAGATCTGCCAGAAAAATCTCTTTCTGGAGAAAGACTTTCATATTTAAGTTGCCTGAAACCTTCCTCATACCAAAAAACATTTTCTTTACCTGCGTGGACGAGTTCTGGGTGACATCATTTCATTTCCTAGCACGTGATAGCGCCTGGCCTCATGGAGGAGCTGGTAGCACTCTGGAGCATTTTGGATGAGCTCGTCTCCCTCCACTGTCTGGACGAAGTAATTGGGGTGAAGAAGGGGCAACCGAACGTGCTGAAGCAAACTCTTTAGCATGGGTCGCCTTTGGTCCACATTGTGGTACACCCATTTCATCACTGCCTCAAACACTATCTCCTCCTTACTGACGGACAAATCTTCTCTGCCAATATAGTCTTTCAACTCTTCAACCCGTAGGTCAAGGAACTCTTCGTGGTGTGACACCTCTGAGAAATTTGCCAGAGCGTAACTTTTGCAGCGACCAGCAAGCTGCTTTAGAGAGTGAGCATCTGCAAAGCGCTGAATGCCAACACAGTTGCATGGGTCAAGCTGGTCCTCTAGGAACTTTGCACAAGCGTCCCGCAGTGTGGTGATCTGGAAGAGGTTGGAGGTTTCAAAGAGAAACTGGACATTCTCGGTGGTGATCTTGGCACGGCCAGTGTAAACATAGTTGAGGAAGGCCTCCATCGCCTCGGCCACAATGCCGTTGATTTCAACCAGCATCTCTCTGCTCTCACGGTGATCATTGCAGAACATGGCCTTGAAGTAGGAAGAGCAGGCACAGAGAACAGCGCGGTGGCAGGGAAACTCGCGGCCCTGCACGCTGATGACCACATCAGTGAAAAGGCGGCAGTCGCGGAACTCATTGAACACCTGAAGAATTCCCTCTGAATGTGACGCACCAGAGCAGAAGTCAAAGACATCGCCTGTTTTGCATTCAACTGGCAAAACCTTAAGGGAAAAATTACATTCATAAATATGTTTAAAAAATTGTAGTTAACATAAAATATACTAAAAATCAGAAGACTTATTACCTTGCGTTTGACAACTGGTGATTCTTTGGTGTCTGAGATACTGCTGTTTATTCTCCTGCCCAGAACCAACACCATGGCTGCTACCTTTCACAGAAATGCTCCTTAAACGTTTGGGTAATCTAAAAAGATGAAATGAAAGGTGCCACAGCATTACTCATTATGTGGTTGTCGATTTGGACAAAGAGTGGAGAATAAGGAAGGGGCAAAGGAAGCAGAAATATTACCCTGATTAGATGAGTAAGTACAACATAAAACTAAAGCTTGTCTTGTAAAGTGCTATAAAATGGCATTCACAGAAAAGTGGCACCATATAAATAACTTGAATTTAATTAAAATCTAAGACAAATGTGCATAAGCGAAAAGAAAAGAAAATACTTCAGTCTTGCGGAAAAAGATAGATGTTTTCAATTGAGTCAATACAGGTGAAAAATAAATACACCTTACTTCCTCTAACATGCTCATCACCTCTGCAAACAGTTGTGCCCTGGAGCACAACTGTTTGCATGAGACTGAGGATGACAAAGAGGCAGAGGCGGGAAAGAAACGGTTGGAGGCCAACCTACATGCCATTCAGATTTGTTTTGAAAGAAACTGGAAGTGAGGGATGCTATTAGACAAAATTTTATAAGGACTTGAGTAAGTGAGTCCGGACTTCCAACAGATTACCTTGAGTAACTTTTTTTTGCATCATTTTTTAAAACATTGTAATCTTTTGCTATTGTCACTTTTTATAATACAAAAAAGTACAAATACATAGACCAACCAAATTTCTTAACCAAGACGGAGTGTTTTCTTCTAGAAAACATTTTTTAGAGAAAAAAACGCCTTTTTTTCTCTCTAAAAAAAAGACATTTTTTTAGAGAAAAAAAAATGCCTTAGGCTATTCTGCCTGAATCAAAAAACTAACAACACAGGCCTAAGTCCTAGTGAGGTCATTTATCCCTTGTTATTTTTAACTTGGACTCAACCCATTCACGTGTCTTATTTGCCAGCAGCGCTGCAGAGGGTCACTGCAGCCAGGCAGATTACAATACAGGTTTAGCCATCTGACATTTGCTGTGTGAACAAGCTGTACTTCGGAGGAAACAAAGAAAACATAGTTTATATAGAAACACTGGGCTAAAGCAAACAGAGATCTAAAAATAAAACCATCTGAACTCACGTATCTGTTTGTGTTTTTTATTTCGATTTTAAGCCGTGGATATATCACTCTTTTTTATTATTATTAAAAGGCTGTAATATGTTATTACTGTTAATTAATTAAAACGTGTGCAGCTGCGTGGACAGAGCGGTGAAAACAAAGCAAAGCTGGCTCGCGCCTGACCGTTACTGGTTTAGCAAACTGATAAAGTTCAGACAGATTCTTGAAAAAAAGTAAATAAATAATAATTACAACAGAGTGAGAAACGAGCCCAACAAATGTTGGCAAATAATACAGTTTTACAAGACAAAAGCGTTACCGTGAAAATATGTTCCCAGATGCGGCCTCTTGTCTTCTGTCACAAGTTAAAGGAAAAACAAAGGGGGGGGGGTATTAGGAAAAAAAATAAAACTATCTTTAAAACGCTCGCCACTAACTTATCATATCTTCCACCGAACTGTTGTGAAAAAATAACTCGGCTGCAACGCAGGACATTTTGACTTGCTCCGAAAACCAAAAACAAAGACTCTTAACTACCTGATCCTGTAAACAGAACCCTTTATATAGCTGCTTGTCAGGGGGGGAAAAAAATACGTTCCACTGGGCCTACGCAGATTTTACTGATGCATCCTGGGAAACCGAGTCTCTTGTCCTTCCAGGGATGCAGGCCTGTCCGGCAAGAAAACTACATTCCCCAAGAGGCCCCAGTTCTCCACGTGGCTTCCCTTTGTTTGCAAACAAACGCGAGTTTCATCAGAAGAAAAATCCGCAACAAGAAGTGGCAGCAGGGTTAAAAAACACGAAAATAACCGATTGCTTTGCCATTTAAACCGTTGTTATAAAAGCCTGTGCGTGATGATTAGTGTTTTGCAGAGTTAAACTTCTTTACAAAAAGATTTCAATGTTTACATGTTGAAAAATAACAGCGCATGAAAATGGCTTATTACACTTTTACGTCGTATAATTTTAAATTTATTGGCCGACCAAAACAAAATGATGGTCACCACCCCTCCCCCACGCTTCCCCTGCAGGTGAGAAGGAAGGAGGAACTTCGCTGGAACAAAGGATGTCATAACTTCCTGTCAACGTGACAAACATGCTTTTCAAGAGCTTTAAACTGGATCACCTTACACTTCCAACGAAGTAAACAACTATGCATGTGAAAAAACCCAATTGTTAAGCTTAACAGGTGATGGTCAAATTCATCAATATTGTCACATTTTGAAATTTCGCTTAAAGCCATTATTACCAGATTAGTTATCAAAATTAAAACACAGGGGAAAGTAGTGGAGGACATTGTGGTTTGTGCAGGGTACTAAAACACCTGGTCAAGTTCACCAAAACCAAACCACCTAATACGTTTTTGTTTGTTTGTTTGTTTTTTGTGAACAAACAAACTCTTTTGCAAATGAGACAAATACAAATTAAACTTTACGTTCAATAAATAGAAAGTTGTTATTTCAGAACTACAAATATGAGCAAATTTCACAACATGCCAAATGTGCTATGAAGTAGGTATTCAGGCGTTAGGAAACACTTCTGCAGACAAATGTGTCCCTCTGCTGTTGAGCTGCTGTAGCACACATAGACTAGGAACTCCGTCAAATGGTGTCTGGATTATTGCCGCCATTCATTTCCCTTCATGGTCCATAAATTGCCATGTCAGTGATCTACTTACACACCCAGGTTTAGACAAACACAGCTTTGAAAGCAAACATAGTGGAGTGCTTTTTTTTTTTAATATGGTCATAAACTGTAGTCCATCAACATGTTCCACAAGACTTTTTTGCACAACATGAGGCAGAACATTTTACATTTTACAGCAAAGTTATTAACATTTAAAGCAATTTCAGACCTCTCAAACACAAAATAGGAAATACTTATTAATCAAACTGAGTTCTTTAAATGACAAATATGCTGCATAACAAATAACTACAGGCTGCAGCGTATATACATCCTCGCATATATACTGGCTGAAATTATATATCAGCCAGTATATAACACATTGACTTTATGATTGTTAATTAAGAGATTTCTCAAATGGAATGGATTGTCCTTTACTTTAAGAGTGTCAGAAAGATTTGACAGAAGAGTGATAATCATTGATAACGTTTTCAACAGTATGAGAAAAAAAGAATTAACTGATGATAAAAGGTTACAGATCACAAGAGATTTAAATATAGTGCCACTGAAAAGAGCATATATTAAACACCTTTCTTTTTGTGCTCTGTCCTGTCTTTATCTTTGCAAGGTTATGTAGGTCTCCATATAAAGGTTGAATGGACAAGGGGCAGCATACAACCTGGACATTTGCATCACAGGTCAACAGAAATACATATCAAACACCCATATACTCACTCACTCAGGCCTCATTTTTGGTCAGCAAATCTTACATGTATGCCTTTGATCTGCGGGAGAAGTTTCCATTTCGATTTAAAATTTCAGCACTGACTGACAATATATTAATCCTAAAGAAAAACAATCCCAAACAAAAGTGTGTACAGTGCAGGACTTTTACAAATAAGTAAATCAGAGTAGCAATCAGATCCCGGCCCTGATTTTCAAAACACAAGTAAAATCTTTCATTTTTAATTTATCTGATCCTGTTAGCATTGAAAGCTGCAGTAGCTGCACTGCAACTCGTGATTCTATATTTGAGAAAAAAGCAGTTTTTACATATATATAAAATATTTTTACAATTATTACAATGTTCTGATAGTATAATAAGAAGGCGATCCCCTGTGAAAAAAATCAAGCTCTTCTGCTTGATTTGTACAGTCAACTTCATATCACTGAACTTCTGCTGTCTACTCTCCTCATTGCTCTGATTGGTTGTTTCTGAATGGGAGCAGTGTATTTCTGCATATTGCAGTAGGACCACAGTGAGAATACTATATATATATATATATATATATATATATATATATATATATATATATATATATATATATATATATATATATATATATTTTTTTTTTTTTTTTTTTTCTCGCAGATTATCTCATGCTATCATGGCATGACATACTGAAGTTGAAAAGATATGCGAAAAACACTTTTACATATAAAAGTTACATACTGCACGGTTAATGCTGCAAAAAGTGTCTTTTGATATACTGTATATTTACAAACAAAAGTTAAACTTTCTTTTCTTTTTTTTTTGTAAAATACAGACCTCTATGCAGTTACAAAAATCTCACCCTGATGGCATTGTGTATGTACAGTCAATGGACATATCAAACAAAAATAGATAGTCCCCAATACAAGCCTAGTGGTAAAATGTCTTAATTGTGGGCAAATCTTAAGAGTCTTTATGATAATCTGTTTTCTCTGTTTCTTCTGTGACAGTGTAGCAGAAGTGTGAGACTTTCAGAAATATCTCGGTACCTCAGCCCATACAGGTAAGGAGCAAATGCTCTGGGAAGCAGCATGAGAAAATTTGCATTGATTGTGCTGATCCACACACGGAGATCCTGGCTTACTTTTTTCTCCTGAAAGATGTAGAGCTCCAGGGCAAAAACAAAGCCAGGGACAAAGTAGAGCAGCAGCAGCACCCCGTGGACCAGCACCGTGACCCGAGCCCTGGAGAAGCGGCTGTGCCAAATTCCCTGCGTCCTGGTCACCATGTAAAGCCGGATGTAGCAGTAAGAAATTAAAAAAGCGCAGATCAGTGCTGCCACAAGAAAGTACATGTCGATCCCCCCTATGTTCTTGACCTTAAAGAAACCAAGGGAGATGAGAGCCAGACACACGGTTACATTGTCGTTGGGAATCTCTTCCTTCATCATCACCATTAAGGTGAACGGATAAATGGCGCACAGCAACCAAACCACCCCTAGTATGCTGTTGGTCTTGGCAGGCGAGAGAAGGTTATGGTAACGGAGAGGCCAGCGGACGGCGGCAAAGGTGTCGACCACCATGAATGTCACAGTGATGATGGCACAGCTGTAGGCCGTGACAAGGAGAGCTGTGAGTAGCTCACAAACAAACCAGGGCATCTCTGCTCTCACAGCATTACCAATCAATGTGACCAAGTTGAGGATGAGGAAGAGCATGTCCGCGACCAGGGTGTTGGCCACCAGCAGGTAGCGGGTCTCCCTGCGCAAAGCACGGGACAGAAAAATGCACACCAGCAGAACAGGGTTGGCCACAAACGTAGCTAAAGAGATGACTACAGGGGGGATGCAAAACAGTTGAAGTTGCCAGCGCTCCATGCTTTCAATCCACTCCATTGTGAGGTTAGAAATGAGAAGAAGAGATGACGTCATTGTGATTTTGCGACGAAGAGGAAGCACAGATGGATGATATATGGGGCTCTGTACGTCGTCCGGCAATGTCCTGCGAAAGAAAAAAAAATACCATAAATGACTGTAAACAGAGAGCATGCTCTTTAAAATATGAGCATGTAATAAACCAGGAACATTGCACAAGCAACATTTTTAATCATAAAACATAAAGTGCTGAAATTAAGCTATTAGAAAAAAATCAACATGATTTACAAATGAAGAAATGTCAATATTTATGTAGCATGCAAAATAGAGTTAGGAGTATCAGGCATATTTCTGCAATCTCTAGTATAACTACTGAGATATTCTGCATCATCTCAGTCATCCATGCAACTCGCTGTTGTGCAGCTGCTATATGAGCATGAAGTTCTGACTGATTCATACTGAACTGGTAAATTTTCTATTACAAAAACTAACATATGAAATGGAAACAATACACAGCTGATAAAACTTGAACACTTACTCTCATTTTCGGTCAAAATGTGTGTTGTTTACACCCATACTTCAGAAAATATAACTATCTTGTGATATTGACATTGCAGTTGAATTTCACCAGCTGGGATCCATAAAATTATCCTAGCTCACTCATAACCGGTCCATTGAATGATGTTAATTCAATTGTGCAGCAGTGGAAGCTTAATGGTTGAAATAGGTCACATAACTTTAAATACTTCACCATGTTGGCACGGATGAATATGGAAATGAGCAATCCTTACTTCTTGCCAGCATACAACTAGAGGTTGGTTAGTAGAGGCTCTACTTTTCCAATAGAAAATAAATGGTTCTTATATATTAAAGAATGACATGACTAAGTTGATTTCAACCTGCTTAATTACTTTAATAGGGCAATACTTATGGTATATACATTTTAAAGGTTCAAACAGTATAAATGCCACCACAGTACAGATAGATTTGACACAAACTGAAGTGGATAAAATTCAGTCTCAGCACTAACAAACCATGATATTTTATTGATTGAATGAAGGTATCTTACCTTATTTCTAAGAGAAAATGCTGCTTGTGCTGAACAAATCAATGATAGTCCTTTGTACGTCTCACATACGCTGTTTCTATCTCATAGATTTTTTGTTTACTCAGTGATAAGAGATGCAAAAAAGCTGCAGCCACTTGTTGGTGACATAGAAACAGGGTGGAGCTTTTTAGGCTTTTAACCATTGCTTATGCTGTTTTTTTTTCTTCTTCTCATCTTTAAGCTATTAACATCTTTAAACCATTAATCTGATTTGGATATATATATTTTTTACATTATTTCACTGCAGAATAGCAAAGATCCAATTTAGTTTAATTAAAAATCATAAAAACAAATCGCACCTTCCACATTTGATGCTTTGTGGTGAGTTAAGGTCACCCTAACGTTATCACACTTCAGCCTAATGACGCCATTTAAACAAATACAAAAATTAGTTCCTCATCAGCAGACTCAGAAGCAACAGCCACAACAGGTCCATGTTTGGTTATAATAATACTCTTTGATACTAGTAAACAGGTATGAAGAGACAGAAGAAGCAATAAAAAGAAAAAAAAATAATTTATTAAATTTAGATGCATACATTTTCTGATTACTGCCATTTATTCTTTGTGATATGCTTTCTTTTCATGCGTCCCTTTTGTTCATTATTTTTTCATCTTCTTATTGTATCCACTTTTTCCTCTCGTTTCCTCCTCCTCATAATCATCATCATCATCATTATCCTGTTCCTCCTCCTCCTCACTTTTAGAGTCAATGCTGCCATGCTCAAACTCTTCTTCCTTCAACTCTCTTGCCAAGAGTTTCTGAAACACATCATACTCCTCAGATGATGCCTGAGCAACATCTGCGATGAATGTCTCCTTGTCCACATTAAGAATTCTGTCCAGTTTGGGGTTAATCAGAGTAGTCTGTCCTTTCTTGTCTGGGGTTTGATACAAGCCTCGCCGCTCCAGGAAAGTATGCCGACAGCACACGTCGTCTAGACTGAAACGAAACAATCTGCACTTCACCATCTCGGCCTGTTTGACACCCATTCTGAAGTAAACGTACTGTGGAGAGAGTATTTGATATATGCAGTTAGGAAGAACAAGAAACAAATAAATATAATAATAATCAGAGAATGCATTATATATATATATATATATATATATATATATATATATATATATATATATATATATATATATATATATATATATATATATATATATATAAACCCTGGTGAAACTTTGCATCTGCTGATCTTATCACACAAGCCACGTTTCAGCCTATTTTAAATGGCATAACAGAAAGAGCAGGAGCTTCTTAAAAGCTCCTGCTCTTGGTAGTAGGTGACTGTGGTCTTAAAAGGAAGTGGGCTGCTTAAGTAAGTTCTTCTTAGATGGGGTTACAATATTAACCCCATTTTTTAAACTTTTTTGCTTACTAACCTGAAACTTGTACTCCAGATGGTCCAGGTCCTCCAACACCACTGCAGGACTATCTCTGAGGATTTCTGCCACTTGCTGGGTGGTAAATAGACATTTCTCTCTGAGGAACTGCACCACAGATTTGACAGACTTCATTGGCACGGTTAAGATCTTTGGGTAGTGGGACACGGTTCTCTGAAGACTCCCTGCAGGATAGATTTGATGTGATACACCATCACAACATAGAGCAAGTAGTATGCATTTTTTTTAAATAGTTAAACATTTGAATATTTACCTATATTTAGCTGTATCCATTTTCTAAAAAGTTTTTTACCAGCATTAATATCACTGCTGAATAAACCCATCCATCCTAATGGCGTGGTGTTAGCGTTAAAATCTAGTCTTAGTTCTCCTCCACAAATATAATTTTTCATCTAGAATAGTGTGCTTAAATTTAGCCTCATCTGACCTGAGAACATTCTTCAAAGGGTTTGTTATGATTCATGCAGGGTATGAAGCAAACTGCAGATAGAACCATGACTTTCTTCCATCAAGACCAGATCACATGAATACTACATTTTCTGACTTTTATTTTAAAAATAAACAATGATCCAAACATCCTTAGACTCTCCACAATTATGCACCACGTTGTGTTGGCTTATCAAATAAACGTGACAAATGTGGAAAGTCCATGAATACTTTACAGTACTTTGCAAAAGTACGTTGCCTTGAAAAATAATCTCACCTTCAACAAAACCCAGTTGCCGTAGCTGGGATATCCGCTGCTGAAGCTGCATTTCTTTAACCCTGTAGAGCTCTGGACATTTGTCCAGCAGTTTGTGCACAGTGGTGGGGTTAAGCCCCAGGGCAAAGAGCACTGATAGCGTTGACAAGACGTGTTTGGCAGCATTCCCTCCTTTCATCCTGGACACACTGTCATACAACAGCTCTGCCTGGTACGCTGTGAATCCCATGTCGAGAAAAGATTTCAGAGACAGCTCAGGAGAGTTTCTCTTCTTGTGTTGTAATAGAGCAGAGGTCTGATTTGAAACGGAGCAAAGCAGTCTGCAGCTGAGGCTCAGAGGGAGATTGGATGTTTTAAACGTCTTAAACTGGAGTGGGATGGGAGTGGAGGCGGGAACATAGTTTAGTTTTTGTCGAAGAACCTGTGGAGGAAAAAAATAAAACGTCCGACGGTTGTACCCGTTTCATTAGCTGCGTGACGAACTTTAAGGACTTTTTGACAATACTTCTGAGCTAGTTGGATCAATAAATCACACACTCCAAAATCTACGTATATTCAAATTAAGTTGTAATAAAGTACATAAAGTCGAAAGGCCTTTCAACTCACCTGCAGCACAACAACACGGGAACCCATGGTGGTACGTTGTTCTGAGTCGTCCGACTGGAAATCTAGTGCCAAGGAAACGTTCCGGGGAATCAGTTTGATTCTAGTGCACAACCTGCTCTCAAGAACCGGGGTTCGTCTAAAATTACAATGCACAATTATCAGGGACTCCGTGGATAAATAAGAACAAATCATCTTAAAAAGTTATTGTGTTTGGTGTGTGTTTTAAGTTCAAAGTTCAGTTTGGTACTGGATTTGGGGAAAAAATAATCCTCAGTTTTGCAGTGCTTGTTTTGATGGAGGGTTCTTCAGGGGACAAATGGATGATGAACATAATAGGATGAATTGAGGATGTTTTGTGTCTTTTGCAGACAACGGCAGGTTGCCTGTATGGATGTATGATGGACTATAACTGTCCACCCAGTCTATTGTCCACTGACTGCTGGAGTACGGTATCCTGCAAGGATAAAGGGGTATAGACAATGAATGAAAGGATGGATGAGAAGTGTAGATGTTATCATGGGCGAATTGTTGGCTTATGATTTTATGTGTAGTCTCTATAATTCTCCATAGGGCCTTTTCATCTGCTGCCATATCACAGCAGGGTGCCATATGAAATGACAGTCTCTATGAGATGTCAGGAAGTAGTCTGTTTTTTGCTTTCTTGGTGAGTTGTGATGTTTGCTGTGAGTGAGAGACCTTCAGAGACAAATCTGAGAGTGAAAACTGAATTTGAGTTTATAACGGTTTGATATGTCATAAGACAACAAATATGTGCAACTTACATTTTATTTTACTATAAGTTTTGCAATATTGTGACAGAATTCTGCTTTTTGGTCTTGTCATTTTTCTAGACTTGAAATACAGCCTCCAAACCAAACAAGTATCGTCTTTATGTTTTGTCCATGTTATTTCTGTTTTTTTTATTTTAGTTTTAAGCTATATGTTGTCAAACAAACCCATGTCAATTTGTTTTAGCCAAATAAAAATCAAAACACTATTTCTCAAATTATACACTATATTACCACAAACCTCCCTTCAGACACATGGAATGGATGGACAACCCAATTTTTAATCCGAGGGACCGTTTTTTCCTACAGGGCATTTGAAAGGTGTTCTGTTCAGTTGTAGTCATAAATCTGTGCAGGCCAGTCTTTTACACCAAGTCTGTTCATTCACACTTTTTGGATTTCTTTGTGCAAAGTTGTACTGGGGCTGGAAATGGCCATCTCCAAACAGTTCCCATAATGTTAGA